TAATATAATATTATATTATATATAATATTATATTATATATAATATTATATTATAATACTATATATATATAATATTTTATAATATTATAACGATATTATATAGTATTTTATATTTAATATTATATAATATTATATATATAATATTATATAGTATTTTATAATATTTTATAATATAATATTATATATATAATATTTTATATGTATATTATATATAATATATATAACGATATTAAATAACGATTATATAATATATACAACGATTATATAATATAATAATAATCGTTATATTAAATGAAATATATTTATTTATTATATCTCTGATTGTGTTGTATTAAACAAATGTGTGTTAAATATGTAACATAGAATGATGGTGGTAGAGTGGTTTAGAGGCTTGTCTAATTATAATTTGGCCTGGGTTCGAATCCTTGAAGGAGCTTCCAACCTTTTATTGTTTTGCCTAACAATAGTAAGGGTAAAATGGTAAATTCTACGACTTTGGGTGAAAAAAGGAAAAAAAATCGCATAGCACGCGCGTGCACACCACTTCCGTTATCTTAGACGGTTTAGGGTGTTTCGCGCATACAAAAGTACAATAGAAGGGGGTTTGACTCAATTTTTAAATTATAGGGGAATAACGCGCAGATTTAGTATAATACAGGGGTGTTTGGTGCAATTTACCCAAAGGTAGGGGTACACATAATTCGGTTAACCAACCGAAACAGAAATTTTGGTTAGGACCGAAATTCGAAATCGAATATTTCTTTCGGTTTTTAATTTACATTTTCTTAAAATTTCGGTTTCGGTTTGGTTTGGATAATATGCTCGGTTAACCGAATTAAAACGAACCGAAAACCGATACTATTCAAATAAATAAAAAAGGCCCCGTAATATCCCCAAGCCCAACCCATGTTTGTGTAGCCCTTTCCAATATAGTACCAAGTTCCATGTTAACTCTTGGCCCAATAACCAATTTAATTTTTCTCCAGGCCCAATTTATCTTTTTTGTGAAATCGTGCAGCAATTCATTTTCCTTTCATCTTAATCCAAATCACGAGGCAACGAGGGCACAACACAGACACAGAACACAAATCATTCATCTCTCTCAAATCCACTGTTCTAAAAATCGGTTTAAGCGGCGCCTAGGCGCTAGGCGGTGTCCAGGCGCCTCCGATTTGCACAAATCGGCAAAAAAATCGGCCAGGCGGCTAGGCGGTCTTAGGCGGCCCTAGGCGCTCCTAGGCGGACTTGGCGGGCTCGACGGCCAGATGGCTAGGCGGCGCCTAGGCGGGCATAGGCGAACCTAGGCTCCTAGGCGGGCTCAACGGCAATTTTTTATTTTTATGTTTAATTTTTTAAATACTAATTACATTATTTTGTTCTCATATTTTCTTTAAAATATATTAATTTTATTATTTGGACTTAAGTGTGTCGATTTATTATAAATTGAGATAATTTCATTTTGTAAGTACTTAAAATAAATAAAAATGACGTATTTAATATTGATTTCTAGGTCACGACTAGGTGCCGCCTAGGCCCCCCTAGGCGCTAGACACCGATCGAGCGCCTAGCGACTTTTAGAACACTGCTCAAATCTCAATTTCTCTTTCACGAGTCACAGCAGCACATACACCGACTAATTTTCACACGACACCTCAATTATTTTTCAGTTCTTCCCCAAATTCTCTTCATTCACAAGGGCATTGGCGACGACTGAACGCGATTTGCGGTGGCTCCAGTTCCGTCGTTCGTCAACGATGTCGCAAATTGTGACCTGAGAGCGACCGTCGGGCTCTGTTCGCAACTCCGATTTGGTCTGTCAGCGTTCAACTAATCACGGTTGTGGCTTGTCATTACTCATTCTGGCTGGACTGACCTTTTTTTTTATCGTTGAATCCGACAGGACTAATGTTGTTCAGCCTCGGGTGCTGACCAACAGCTAAGGAGGAGCGTCAACAGTGGCAAGTTCGA